CATGGTTAGACAAGTTCGTCGGCGGCGCACCGCCCATCGATCCTCGTCGTCGGCGGCGCACCGCCCATTGTTTGCATGTATATTCGTGAGCGCCACGCCGATCATTTGTTTTCCTTGTCGCGGCTGTCGCATCGCGCCGCGCGTTTTCGGCGGCGCACCGCCTGTTGTTCCAATTGTGTAGGCTGTGTTGCGCAGCCTTGTCCACTTCTCCAGAACCAACCTGCTCTCTCATCCGCCTTGCCCCTTGTTCCCTTTCATCCTCGCGCCGTGTTCTCGACAGCCGTTTTGTGCTGGCGCGCGGCCGCGGGGGCCGCGCGCGCGGCCGCGGGGGCCGCGGCGCCGCGGGCCATGGCGGCCGCCGAGGAGGAGTCGCCCGTGCCCCCCTTCTTGCACGAGGGCGTCAAGTCACCCGTGCCGTCCGAAGACAGCTCGCAGGAAGAAGGCTCGAGGCCGCAGGCAGCAGACTCGTTCAAGAACGAGCCGCAGGAAGCAGGCTCGAGGCCGCAGGAGCTTGGTTCTGCGAAGGCCGAGGAAGGCGACACCTCGGCGGAGGCCAGTGCAGCTCCGCCTTGGCCCAAGGCCTCCTCGCCTGCGACTCCGCAGGAGCCCCCGCAGCGCGCGCCTGAGGAGGTCGCGGCCGCTGCGAAACCAAAGGCGGGGAAGGCGGGGCGGCCTCTCCTCAGGCGCCCCGCCGCCGTGCCGCCCGCCAAGCAGCCCCCGTCGCAGCGCTCGCTTTCTCAGTTCTTGACCGCGAAGAAGGGCGGCGGCGCGCCGCCTGCGAAGGCAAAGGCGAGCGCGGAGCCCAAGGCAAAGGCCAAACAGAAAGCGAAGAAGAAGCCAGCAGCGGCGGCACCTTCGACGGCGGAGGACGCAGCAGCAGGGGCGGACGAGGCAGAGCCACAGCAGCAGGCCCAGACGCAGCACGACAAGAAGTCGGTTGCAGCCTCGCAAGCACCGCCGGCAGCGGAGGAGGATGCAGAGCCACAGCAGCAGCGTCAGGATGCAGCGCCGACGGAGGCAGAGGCGGCAGCAGAGGAGCCGCAGGCCGCGCCCTCAGACACGTTCGAGGCCGCCACGGACGAAGCAAAAGATGACTACGGCCGCTTCACGACGGGCTACGACCCACCCTGTCCAGGCCCGACGTGCGCCAAGTGCGGTCGGGATGCGGAGAGCGTCCGCTTCAGGCTCGCCCAGAAGAGCGCCAACACGTGGTGGTGTGGGAGCTGCAACAGCAAGAGTTCGATGGTGCAGCGCTGCTATGCGCACTGGCCACCGCGCTCGTTCGCTCTCATGCGCAAGGCGGACCAGCAGGCGTTCTGGCGCTCGATGGACGACCCTTCCATTGAGAACAACGCTCAGTTCGAAGAGGAGCTGGTGAGGGTCCTCAGCGTCTCGAGGAAGGAACGCCTCACGGAGACCAAGGGCGGGGATTGGAAGCCCTTGTCCGTCTGGGCCCAGGAGGGGTACGACGCGGACGCCGTCCGTGCCAACAACGACGTGAGGTACAATTCCGACTTGAAGCAGGATTGTTACCGCATCCGCATCGAGGGCAGCAGGCAGGAGAACATCGAAGAGACAGTGAGGCAGGAGCTCCGCCAGAACAGGAAGCCGCCGAGGCCATCCCCACCGAAGCATGAGAGAGCCGTGGAGCCACTCCCGCAAAAGACGCACCGCTCGCCGAGCGGTGGCTACGAGGGCCCCACAGGCGCTGGTCGCCGTTCGACGAGTCGGAGCGGCGACAGCGACTGTTCGCAGAACCGCCAGCTGAAGCGGGGCCACTCCAGCAGCGGCGACGGCGCGGACCGCTTCCCCAGCCGCGGCCGCAAGCGCAGCAGCCGCGGCCGCAGGGCGGACAGCCGCCAGAAGCACCGCTCTTCCAGAGGTTCCCGCAGAGCCGACGCGAAGGGCCGCCGCTCGAGGAGCCGCAGGGCGCACAGCAAGAAGGAGAAGGCCCGCTCGAGGAGCCGCAGGGCGCACAGCAAGAAGGACAAGGCCCGCTCGAGGAGCCGCAGGGCGCACAGCAAGAAGGACAGCCGCAAGACGGGTCGCTCCCAGTCTCGCGAGAAGCAGCGCTCGAGGAGCCGCAACGACCACGGCAAGAAAGGGAGGGACTCGCGCAGTCGCATCAGGAGGGAACGCAGCGAGCAGAAGCGTGTCCAGAAGGCCATCAAGGACCGCAAGGCGTTGGCGATGAAGACGCTGGAAAAGACGGGGTCCTGGGACGTGCAGCTCGCATCGCTCCTCGACGACGAGGACTGCTCCAGGGTGCCGACCTGGGCGGTGAAGAACGCGAAGGACAGCCACAAGGATCTCTCGAAGCTCAGGGAGGCCGCGAAGACCGCGCTCGAGGACCCCAGGGCGAGCTTGCCGTACGAGGCGAAGGCCTTGGAGGCAGCCCTCGCCGACGCAAAGACCGCTGTCGGTGGCCTGCGTTCGGCCATCGAGCACGCGAGCTGCTCAACGGCCTTTTCATCCATCGTGGATGGCGGTGCTCCGCCGATCGACCGCTCGACTGCCGATCGATCGATCGAAGATTTTGCTGATCGACCGCTCGACCCATCGAGGATTTCGCCGATCGACCGCCGACCGATCGCGTTCGGATCGGTCGACCGCCGATCGATCGATCGACCGCCGATCGAGCGCCGTTCGATCGCGATCGACCGCCGATCGATCGCGTTCGACCGCCGATCGATCGCGTTTGCGTCCCGATCATCCTTCTACAGGCCAAGAAGTACAGCAAGAAGAACACCTCGAGGGACTGAGCTCGGCGGCGGCTGCCCTGCTCAGTCCCCAGCCGCTGCGACGCGCGCTGGGGCGCGCTGGAGGCGCGCTGGAAGTCTGCCCCCGCCCGCGCAGACTTCCCTCGCTTAGACAAAAACTATATTCCTCCGTGGTCCGCCTCCCTTTCCTCGTGCACGGCGTCCTTGTAGCCATGCTCCTCTTATTTCTGGCGGTGCACCGCCCATGGGCAGCATCCGCCGACGGCGGTAGTTTGCCTCCTGTCCACACCCCGCACTCTTCTGGCGGTACACCGCCCGTTGCCAGCCATCCGCCGACGGCGGTACTCCGCCTCCTGTCCATGCCCCGCACTCTTCTGGCGGTGCACCGCCCGTGTGCAGCCATCCGTCGTCGGCGGTACTCCGCTTCCTGTCCATGCTCAGGAGTCTTCTGGCGGTGCACCGCCTGTTGTCAGCCATCCGTCGTCGGCGGTACCCCGCCATCCGTCATCCGTTGTCACCCATCCGTCATCCGTTGTCAACCTTTTCCACCGCCTCACCCACCCTACTTCAACGGCTCGAAGGGCGCCCGCGGCGGCGCGCCAGGCGGGGGCGGCGCCATGGCCGAGCGATGGCCCCCTGCCGAGCGTCAGAGGCTGCAGGGGGCAGCGCTTCTGCGCCCGCGGCGGCGCGCCAGGCGGGGGCGGCGCCATGGCCGAGCGATGGCCTCCTGGCAAGCGTCAGAGGCTGCAGGAGGCAGCGCTTCTGCGGGGCGTATCGCGGGCGGCGCTGGACAGGTGCACGGAATCCAAAAATCATCATGCGCAATGTGTTTGAAGGATGTTTTGTTTGGTCGGCTTTTTCTTTTCAAAATGCCCAACCGATCTCCACCCGCCTTCCCCGCGCAGGGTGGCTCGCGTCCTGCTGCAGGACGACGACGAGCACGTGGCGGCGGCGACCGTGGGCGCCGACGTGGCTCGCGCGGTGGCGCCGCTTCTGGATGTTATCGAATTGCCGCGCCGAGACGGTGGCCCAGCGTTCAGGTGGACTGTATGTTTGCCCGACAAGATCGTCCCCAAGCTGGCCCACGCGGCGGGGCCTTGGAGTGATCGGTTCTGGGCGGCGATGCGGGTGTTTCCTTCGTCGCCATCGCAACCGTGGCGGATGCTGCTCTACCACGACGACGTGGTCGTCGGCGCGCAGCTCAAAGCTGCAAACCGCAGGACGTCCATTGTTGTGTACATTAGTTTTTTGGAGCTGGGCACATACCTTCAAGAAGAGGGCGCCTGGCTCCCGCTGGGAGTCCTTCGGTCAGAGGACAAGAAGGATATCACCGCAGCGGGCGTGGTGAGGGCCATCCTGCGGCGCCTCTTCCTCGGGCCAGGAGGCGGCGGTTTCGACGTCGGCGCGTCTCGGTTGCATTTCAAGTGCCACAGGCTGATCATGGACGAAAGCGCGGGCAAGGACACCTTCTCGTACAAGGGCTCCAGCGGTTGGCGGCCCTGCTGCAACTGCAAGAACGTCGTGCTCGACCAGGGGACTGGCACCCTCAGCCGTTGGGACCCGTCTGGTTACCTGGTGGGTATCGCTTGCGTCGACGCCTCGAGGTTCGACCCGATGACTGCGGAGGCGTCGGGGGCGGGCAATGCGCGGCCGAAGCTCGGCGAGTCCAGAGAGTTCACGAACGGACTTCGCGAACTCCCTGGAATTCGCGAGCGGAGTTCGCTCGGCCGGCCCCCGCCAAGGAGTTCGCGAAGGGGCACGACGAACTCGTGGAACTTCAACGCACGGCGAGTGCAGTGGCCTTCCAGAATCTCCAATCCGCGCACGGCATCACTGTGAACGAGTTCTCGTTGATGGCCGACGTCGAACTCCGACGCGCTTGCTCGCTGGACATGTACACGCGCGACCCGATGCACATCACCCTGGCGAGCGGAGGCACGTTCCAGGTGGAGGTGTTCTGCCTGCGCAAAGCAGTGGCGCGCGTGATTCCAGACGTGTGGGATCGGTGGCGAACCGATTTCCAGCGCTGGGCTCCAGGCCGCGGCGGAGGGAAAGCTCCCGTGCATCTCTTCTCCCCTGCCAGGAAGAAAGCCTGCGTCGAGGCAGGGCATTTCGTCGGCTCCGCGTCGGACTGCCTCGCCGTCCTGCCGTTCCTCAGGAACTGGCTGCACGTGGATTTCTTGCCGCATCACGCGCCGTTCCTGCCCCAGGCGCGGTCCTTTGAGGCCATGTATGCCGTCCTGGAACTGTACCTGGCGGCGAAACGCGGCGGCTGCCCAGACACGTTCGATGTTGATTTCAAGCGCCATGTCGGGTTGGCGCTCAGGAAACACGTGCGGGCCTACACGGACGCGTGGATCGTGCCTAAGCATCATTATCTTTGGCACGCAGCTGTGCAGGCGGCGGAGGATGGGTTGATGCTCGACTGTTTCGTGCTCGAGCGAAAACACAAGCTCATCAAGGACACCGCGGAGCACTACGACCGCTTGGGCGGCATGGACAAGGATGTGATCACCCAAGTTGTGGCTACGTACTTGCACGAGTCCTCGGCCGCGCCGCGCCAGTCGCACAAATGGTGGCCGACCCCTGAGCTCGACGGGATCATCGGGCAGCGCGGTTGGGGCCAAATGGGCTTTGGTGCACGCGCGAGCCTCCGCGGGGGGCGCGCCTGCGGGGGCGCCTCTCGGGGCAACGCCGAGGCTCGCACGTGCACCAGGGCCTATCCAGGCACGGCGCAATCACTTGTCGTCGAGCTGCTGTCGGCGGCCTCGTCTACGGCAGCGGGGACGTGTGGCTCGAGGGCGACGCCGCGTTCCACGTCCACTGCGTGGCGGTGGCCGCGGGGCGCTCCTACCTCATCGTGGAGCCGCTGGACCTGGCGTCGCGGCCTGCGCCTGGGGAGTCCGCGTGGCGGCCACGAGGAGGACCGAGCTGTGCAAGGAGGAGGGAGGGGGAGGAGGGGAGGGAGGGGGAGGAGGAGGAACAGGGGGGCGAGGAGGAGGGGAGGAGGAGGGGGACGAGGAAGGAGAGGAGGAGGAGGAGGAGGAGGAGGAGGGGGACGAGGAGGATGGGATGGCCCACTACGCCGCCGCCCCATAGGATGCGGCGCGCTGGCTGCTGAGGACGCCCCGCGGGCGCCTGCGGCGTACACCCGCCGAGCCGAGGACGGGTCGGTCCGCGCGCTGGTGTAAAACGCGCGCGCGCGGCGGTGCACCGCCTGGCGGTGGGCCGCCTGTTGTAAAAAATCACGTTCGCGCGGCGGTAGCCCGCCTGGCGGCACCCCGCCCGGGGAAAAGGAGGGACGGAGAGGAGGGGAACGGGAGCGGGGCCCCGCAGGCTGCACGGATCGATGGCGACGCCGACGCGTTTTTGAAAGCGCCCCCGCCCCCCATTTTCCATACGAAAAAGCAGACTTATCGGACTTATAAATTAGATATAAGTTACATATAAGTAAGATATAAGTAAACTAGTTTTGATGAAGATGCTAGATATAAGTAAGAAGAAGTAACATACATGCAGCATGTAACATTCGTCAACGCCATCACCAAAGTAAGCGTCACGGTGAAGCACTCTGACCACTCCCGGAGGCACGGGAACACTTCCCTCGCCTCCTTCGCCGTGAATCCGGACAGGTCGGGGGGATACGCCGCTCCTTCGGCTGCGAGCATGGATGTCAGACACTGCAGAGCTTCCGCGCCTACCGGATGCGAATCATTTTCGGGCGTCCACCGCGACGCGTGTGACAAGCACGCAAGCATGGCGCCCGCGGGCCCCCTCTCGCGGCGGGCCTGGTCGTCACGCGCTCGCCGCGCAAGCCTTTGCGCCCCCTACAAATTGCCCTGTGCTACTTGCTATGCATGCCCGCGCGAATGCCAGGGCGCCGCGCGGGGCCATGGCCACGCCACTCGGGTGAAGCCCTCGCGGTGCATGGCCGCAATCGCGGCCGCCTTCGTGGCGGGCCGCGTAGGGGCGTCTGCCACGTTGAGCGCGGATGGCACATACCACGCGCTCAGGAGGCACCGCGCGGTCGCTGCTGCGAACCAAATATCTGCCACGAGCGCGTTATAATCTGCCTGGCGCGAGGTCCCGCGTAGGAGCACCCCGAGCGCGGCCTGGCGCGGTCAGCGGAGCATCGCACGGGCAGCTCGGCGACCCGCGCCCGGCCGCGCCTTCGAATCGACAAACAACACGATTTCCGCATCGCGCAGCGTCGCGAGCAAATGATGCAAGGCGCAAACGGCCGCGACGAGTTCCCATGCCGCGACCTTTCGCAACACGGCGGGCTGTCCGCCAGGCTACGCGTGGCCGGGGCGCCCCCGCCTGCGTCTTGCGGTGCTTCGTCCACCGCTTGATCGACGAAGGCACATCAGCCGCTGCATAGCGCTTACCGCTGGGCCCAATGATGACCCACGCGAGCCTGCGGAGGCGGGGCGGGCCGGGCAATGCGGGCGCCGTTCCAAACAGGCGCGCGCGTATGTCGCCTGCCGCCGCCCGTCGCGTCGGAATAGACGAGGTAGCGTGGCCGCTCCGGGGTCACCCGCAGGGGCACCGCTCGTTCCGGCGCGCTCCGGAGGAAGCGCAGCCACCATTCCAATGCCCCGCGGAGCCGCGACTTCAACCTCCATCCCCGCTGCTGCGCGTGCCAGAACAGCGGGGCGAGGTATACCCGGGCACCTGCCGTCGCTCTCGCGCGCGCGTCGCTCGCGCGCGGGAGCTTGGGCGTGCCTCTGCCGAACACCGCAGAGGAGCCCCATCCGAGTCTGCCGGCAAGTTTTGATGCCGCCGCCGGCGACATTCTCCCTGCCTCCAGCACCCACTCGATCTCTTGGATCCATTTGTGGCGCTTGTCGCCACCGATCGCGAATACTAACGAGAGCTCATCGCCCGATCCGCGCACTTCCGCGTCGACGCCGAGCACAGTGGCCCTCGGCTCGGCAACAACGCGTTTGCCGGCGTCCAGGCGCCAGCCCAAAAGGTCTTCGACGACCGCCCTCAGGACCTCTGCGGCATCGCGGGGACCGCCCGTGCCGGGCCCCCTGTCCGCGTCGGCCCGGAACAGATCGTCCACGAATCGGCCCGAAGCGAGCGAGAACAGCTTGGCAAGGATGGCCTGCCGCGCTCGCGGGGCGCTCGCCGTGCCGCCGCGGCGCTCGCGCCTCGCGCCTGGAGCGCCGCCCCAACGCGGTCCCAAGCGTATCCGCTGCCCACGGCGCCGAAGGGGCAGCTCAAGAGTTGCAGACAGTAGCCCTCGCGGGCTCCCTTGGCCCATACCGAATGGGCCAACGGGAGGTCGGCGCCTCGCACGGGCAACGTTTTGTAAGCACCGATGAAATCTTCTTTGCTCAGCACCGGCGTGCCGGCCGCGGCCGCGATCCGCGCCAGCTCGACCAGAGCATCGAGAGAATCCACCCTACGCGCGGTCGCGGCGACACGGGAGAGCGGACAGCGCGCGCGAGGGGCGGGGGGGGGGGAAAGGGCCCGCCTGCACCTCTCGGCTGCGGCGGCGCAGTCATTAACGCCCGTGGCAGTGAAATCGTCGATCGCGCGTACCTGGACGCGTTGGCTCCCGGCGCGGCGCCCAGGGGAGGGGACGGTGCATGCCGCGGCGAATGCGCCATTCCTTGCGCATCCATTCTTCCAACTTCCAGCGCCATCCCTCGTCTACAGGGAATCGCGGGTTTAACACCGCCCCGCGTGGCAGGTCGGACAACCGGGCCCACGCTGCCTGGCCCGCGGCCACCTGCGCGCTCGCGGACGTCGCAGCATGGGCGACTGTCCCCGCTGGCTTGCGCGGCGCGCGCCTCTTCGCATGCTTTATCATGCAAAATCTGGGTGACTTCCGCGTCGGTCCCCAGATCCCGAGACACGCGCTCGAGGGTGGCGGCGTTCAAAGTGTCCGCTCGGCTGCGCAACTCGGATGGGCATTCGGCTCCCTCGGGGGTCACGGGCGCGTTCATGCCCGAGCGCGGCAGGACCCCCACTAGCGGAAGCCCCGCTCCAAGTCACGCGTCAAATTCTCGTCGGACGCCTCAAGCACGGAGCCGCGCCCCGCTGTCGCGCGCGCGCTGCGTCGCTGGTCACCCCAGCAGCTTGCATCATTTCGGCCAAAAGCAACAAGTTCTTGTCAGGCCCAAGGACGGAGCGCACATGCCATGGTAACTTCGCATAGCGTGCCTCGCCCGACCGCGCTCTCCGCCGGTGCTTCGCGGTAGCGGCGTGCCGGGCGGCGCCTTCCATTCTGAAGCCGTCACACGTTTGCGCTCTCGCCAAAATTGCAACGCCGCCTCGCGCCTCTCTTGCAAGAGTGCGTCGCTCGTCTGGCTCGCCGCCACCGCCGCATCGCGCTCAGGTCCCGCAAGCGGCGCTATCTCGCGGACCCGCGGCAAGTGTGCCGCCCAGGCGGCGTGGCAAAGAGGGCTCATGCCCGCCCTCTTGTCTTCGTCGTCGAGCAACGCATCCACGGCGGCTTTGATCTGGCGCGCGCGCTTCGCGGCTCCGCCCCCGTAGAGTGGCGGGCAAGGGCCTCTTCAAATGCGCAGCCGGCATCGTGGATTTGCTGGGGGCAAAGGTCGCCGCCCCCGCCTTCGGCGCCGTCGTCGGAATCAACATCCGCGTCCTGCGCTGCGCTCGCCGCGGGCGGGGCGGTCTCGCGCGCGGCGCACTGGCGGCGCCTCCTGCCCCTCGGGCGACGGCCCGCGCCACACTGCGCCCTCACCGCTGTCGGCAGGGTGCAATGGGGAGGCCCCGTCGTCTGCATCACTGGCTGGCGCGGCGCCCCCGCGGGGGGGGCGCGCGCGCGCGCGCGCGGAGCGCGCCTCGGGCGGGCGAATAATTAGCATGCACAGCGCCGGCGCCCTGGCTTCACCACCGCCAGGACTCCTTTCGCTCAGGCTTGTGCCACGAGCTCCCCGCGTCCTTGGGAGCCCCGCCCTTGCCGGCCTTTCCGCTCCCCTTCTTGCTGAAGGTATCGCGGCGGGGGCTGCGCGAGCGCTGGCGGAGGACAGGGCTCACCGGGGTCCGTGGCTTCGCCGCCTCGCGCGCCGCGACGCGTGCTCGCGCTCGCGGGGCGCGCGCGCGCGGGCTCGCGCCTGGTCGCGCCGGTCGTTGCCGCCTTTCTTGCCCCCGCCCTTGGCGAACGCCGCCTGGCGGTCCGACTGCTGGACTCTCTCCTACAGCGCGCAGCGCGATGCACGATGCCAGGGCGGCGGCCACTCAAAAGCGCTGCGCTCCTTGGCGGCGCGCAGAATGTCCCACGACAACGCAGTGAACGAGGCCGTCGCATCCTCGTCGCCGTGTTCCAGGTCTTTCGCCACTTTCTGGCGGAGAAGCAAATCGTACGTGTAGGAAACCTGGACGCGGCGCGGGCTCCCGCGCGCGGCTCCCTGGGCATCGGGCCCGCCGCTCCGCGGACGCGCCTTGACGCCCCCGTGCTCCTCGCTCACGCGCGCGAGCTGGTGCATGTATCCCAATAGCACGACGGGATCAAACACTTTGGACAGGATGCAGCGAAGCCCCCACTCCATTACGTGGGCCTCGCGCCACGGGGCGCGCGTGGGCGCGCGCGCTGCGCTGCGTCGCGCGCGACCTGGAAGTGCGCATAACCGAGAAAATCCATTCGGTCCAGGGCCGCACCCGCGCGGTTCGCCGCGGTGACGGCCGACGCGCGATCGCGCCACGAGCCCGCCCCCGCTGGCACCGAGTCCAGCTTCGGCATTCGCGCCCATTGGGGCTTGCAGTGGTCCTGCGCGCGGAGCAATCGGCGAAACGGAAGCTTGTCATTGCGCGTGCCGCCGAGCAGGGAGCCTGCAGGCTCTCGCCCTCGGCGCTCCCAATGTATGAGCGGCCATGGGACTGGGCCGTCCGGCCCGCGGCCGCGAATTTGCGCATCGACTCCTCGGTCGGCAATCCCT